AAGAAAGGACAATAGAATAGGGCTGGAGCAATAGCATAGAGGGTAGGGCGTTTGCCTTGCATGCGACTGACCAGGATTCTATTCCCATCATCCCATGTGGTCCCCCAAGCACCGCCAGGAGTAATTACTGAGTGCAGAGCCAGGAGTAACCCTTGAGCATTGCTGGGTGTGACTCAAAAAGAAAAAAAAGAAAGGACAATAATCCTGATATTTTCTATCAGTTATTTGGATGGAACTGGAGAAAATCATGCAGAGTGAGGTCAATTAGAAGGAAAGTGATAGATGTAGAGTGATCTTTCTCATATGTGGGACTTACAGACACATAATGAGGCAAGAAAGTGCTAAAGGCAACAGAACAAGAGGGTAGATCCATAAAACATTGTGTGGAGGGGAAGGGTGTAGATTAAAGGAAAAGACTCTGGGAACTTATTGGGGGGATGGGTGCATTATGGGGAGTTGGGACCCTGTAAGAATAATAAACACTTGAAGCCACCGTTAACTGCACTGCAACTTACAATATTTTAATCAACAAAGATATGAAATAAATAATAAAAAGTATTCAACCACATAGAGAAGACAAACTAAGAAAATAAATTTTGTCTAATTTAAAAACAACAGTACTTAGAGAGGTAGTACTTTTTTTTTCCTTTTTGGGTCTCACCCAGCAATGCTCAGGGGTTACTCCTGGCTTTGCATTCAGGAATTACTCCTGAAAGTGCTTGGGGGACCATATGGGATACCAGGGATCGAACCCAGGTTGGCTGCGTGCAAGGCAAACACCCTACCTGCTATGCTATCACTCCGGCTCCCTAGAAAGGTAGTACATTTTATACAATTTTCTTGCTACCTATGGGGGATGGATCGAGTATGTGCATAGCACCTATCATAACAGGAAAAATGAAATGACAACATACTTCTTACTGTCTAATATACAGTAATGTAATACTAAATTCAATAACAACATATACTGTACTTGGGAAAATGAACAAAACCCTGGTTTGAGGCATGTTCAGTTTAAGGCACTCATGTAGGTATGCCCACTAAAACTTGGATAATAAGGAAAAAAATCATTGAGATTTTTGAGATTTTTGAGAAGTGCCACATAGGGTAAATGAATTGAGCATTAACTCAGGACATTCATTTTCAGTATATAATTTTTTTCTGTTTATCCAGGTTAATTAAGTAATATCTTTTGGCCTTGATTATAATTATTAATAAATGAGAAGATATTTTAATTCACTAAATATTGTGATTTACACTAGGGAATCTATGTCACACTTTTATACTAGGGAATCATTATTGTATTTGTCATTAAATGCATTCCCTTTTAAAAAATTTTTCATAAAAATCAAATGTTCTATTTAGAAGCATTGTGATGCTTCTGTTCTTTGAAAATGTTTAATTTTCCCTTTATAAGATAAATGCTAAAGGTAAAGGTAAAGGCCCTCCCGTTGATCGTCGATTTGCTCGAGCGGGCCCAGTAACGTCTCCATTGGAGACTTTGTTGTTACTGTGTCTGGCATATCGAATACTCTTGGTAGCTTGCCGGGCTCTCCGAGAGGGGCGGAGGAATCGAACTCGGGTCGGCCATGTTGGCCGCGTGTAAGGCGAACGCCCTACCCGCTGTGCTATCGCTCCAGCCCAGAAATAATGTCTCCTTTTGACTGTACATTTCCAAGTTACTGAGTCTAATTCATATAAACTTTTCAGCCCTGGAAATAGGTCTATTAATATTTATTTTTATAAATAGAATGATAATTTTCTATCTTTATTTTTGGGTTCAAATATTTGGGGATACTTTCAAGTTCAAGGAACAGGAAAATATACTCTTTAGTTGAGGAAATATACAAACATTTTAAACTACTGTAAATTGCTGGTATAAAGATAAGATAAATTAATGTTTAGTGAAGAGTACTGGGATGTGTCAAAATAGTATTATATCATTTAATTGTTAAACAACAATCTATGTTATCATAGCTAACAACTTTACTTATTTTAAAGTATTTAAATTTTGAATAATAATGTCATTAAAGTGTCAATCTTTAAAAAAACATGTAAGTTTTGTAAAATGACTATTATTTCTGTTCTGTGTGCAGAAAATTATCTTTATAAATATTAAGATATATTTACAATATGCATCTAGGTATAGATATCTCTTGTTCAAACTTTTTATTATTTGATGTTTAAAATGATCACTGCTTTAGTCAAACAAGAAAGAATAACAGGAACAAACAGACTATCATGTAGGTCAAAGCTAACTGGAAGTGCCACATAGAAAAAAACAAAGCTCATAATAAACACCACGTCTACTGTTCAACTCTAATAGCTAATGGATATTCCATTGCCTCATTATTTTACTACATTTTCATTCATTACTTCCTCTAAGCAATTTTTAAGTATTCATACAATTTTGTAAAATGATTTTAATGGATGTGCCATGAATTTTCAATGTGCTATTTGAAATTTGAGGAACCTAATTAGGGATATATTTATTTTCTCTTTTTTAGGGTGATTAATTCAATATAAGACTTTTAGCCAAATGTTACTCCAAAAGGGAAAAAGAGATAGAAAGGGAAAAGGAGGTTCTACTTCTATAGTCTAATGGACTGATAATTAAGGGGGTCAATGAATTGAGCATTAACTCAGGACATTCATTTTCAGTATATATTTTTTTTCTGTTTATCCAGGTTAATTAAGTAAAATCTTTTGGCCTTGATTATAATTATTAATAAATGAGAAGATATTTTAATTCACTAAATATTGTGATTTACACTAGGGAATCTATGTCACACTTTTACACTAGGGAATCATTATTGTATTTGTCATTAAATGTATTCCCTTTTAAAAAATTTTTCATAAAATCAAATGTTCTATTTAGAAAAGTCAGCCTTGTTTGTGGAAACAGAAAACTATTATCGAATGAATTATTTAGACATATAAAATATCTAAAGTCTTGTGATATTGCTTTTGAGACAAACCCTATAAATTCTATCTCTACAAAGTGTATAAATTCAGGAGCCAGAGCAGTACTAGAGAGGGTACAGTTTCTTCCATGCAGCTGACCAGGGATCAATCCCAGATGCCCCCCCCCCTTTGGTCCCTAGAGCCCGCCAGAAGTGATCCCTGAACGCAGAGACAGGATTAAGCCCTGAGAATCATTGGTGTGGCCCAAATACCACCCCCCATGTTTATTAAAGCATGTGAAATCACCTAAAGTTTAGACAAAATCTTCCAGTTCTCTCAATAAAGTAAAAGATGAAAACACACACTGTCCTCCCGTTGTTCATCGTTTTGCTCGAGCGGGCCCAGTAAAGTCTCCATTTTGAGACTTGCTGTTACTGTGTTTGGCATATTCAATATATACAGGGGAGTTTGCCGTGCAGGCGAGATACTCTCAGTAGCTTGCCAGGCTCTCCAAGAGGGGCGGAGGAATTGAACCAGGAGTTTGCCATGCGCAAGGCAAACGCCCTACTGCTGTGCTATCGCTCCAGCCCAAAAGATGAAAAATTAGAATGTACTTCTGAAGTTACTCTATTTGATAAAAGTTCAAGGACCAGATATAGACTAATTCTTAATATAAATGAGCAAATCCTGAACAATAGGATTACTAGTAAATAACATGGATAAAATATTACATTTAAAACTTTTATAACTTATCTTGCATCCTAACAGACCCATAATTTTGTGCTACAATTATATCTATAAAGAATTAATCAAAAGATAATGTATAATATATTTCCCTTTGTATTAGATTAAGCCCTTATATATTTGTCACCCTAGCAACAACATACTGGCTACTAGTTTTAAAATGCATGCAGTGAGAACACCATAATTTAAAAGTAAATTCTTATACCGTATCTATATTCTTTAAGAACCTAAACATTTCTGTTATTCATATACTGAAGCTATAGTACATTACAAACAAATAATTAAGATTACTTCTACTTTTTGTCTCCTACCTATTGTGTCCAAGGAAATTTCAATTGCCAATTCCCTGGTAATCAATAGACAATCAGAGTATATGAAACTTTTGTTCTTGTAAGTATTTACTCATAAGAAATTTTGGTGTCATGTCATTGTGATACAAAGATACCCAATGGGCAGCAAAAATGCTTATACCACATATTTTCAATAATGAAAAAAATAATCAAATTTAGAACAAGTAAACTATAAAATGACAAGATATAAAGTTTTTAAGTATAAACCAAGAAATTCTGAATTTATTCAAAATACTAGCTTTACTTATTCAAATCCTATTACCAAATTTATTCTGTAATTAGAAAGTCCAAGGACAATTTGTAGGAAGACAAATACAGTGTCTGGAAATCTGTTTTTGGTGGTGTGCAGTGTGATTTTTTTATACAGGAGTATTGTTTTCATTTTTATAATCTACATGTTCACTAAATTAAATTCAATTTTGCAATAAAATAACTTGTATTCATTTTTTTAGTTTGCATAATTATAGGATGTCACTAACTTTCAAACACAGAAAAAGCCGTTCCAAAAAATGCCAACAAATCAGGAAGAATACTACTTCCAGTACTGCCTCATACTCTTTGATCAGTACTGATTGTTGCAGTCATGGTAAAACACTTGATTTTCAAGAACAGAAAGAACAAGGATTTTAATCCATCAGTCAAGGAACTCAACAAAATATTCAGTCATTTTGAAAGTGTTTACATATGTGTAAATATTTTAATTAATCACTTCTTCATTTATGCTTCAAAATTGCAAATAAAAATAACTTAAGGTAATACACATGAAACAAAATTTTTAAAAATCAGAAAATTTCATACTTGAATAGGTTATCAACATTGAAAGTGGTCACTTTTGTATTCCGGAAAGCTATATTTCAAAAAAAGAAACAAAACAATCAAAACAATCATCGATGAATAATGCTAATTTTAGTTTGCATATTCATTTGAAAGATTTCTCATTAGTCTGCCCACATGTTTTTAGACCCATTGGAAAAAAATCAAACATGAAGGCAATTAACTTACTTCTGGAGCCTGAAGAGTTCCTCACTGCTGTGAAGGAGTCAGCACTCTGCCTGGCTGCTACAGAAGTCGGACAGGGTGAAAGCATCTCCAAAGCTGATTATAAGGATGGTGTCAGAAGTAAGGATGCTCAGCTACTACATTTCTTCTCAACACCTGTCTGAATGGCTACAGGGACTCTTCAAAAGGAGAGAAGCATAAAAAAAGTGTATCAAAATATGCTTAATTCGTACCTTTGAATACAGTTACTGCTAACTCTGTGGTAATCTCCAAGTATATCAGGAACATCACTAAATATAATTTAAATAAATTTGCATGATTATTTCTATTGCAATATGAAATATGCTTTTATTCCAATAGATTTGTCAGCAATCTGTTTTTTCTTCTCTCTCTCTATCACTCTCTCTCTTTTGGTTTTCATTGTTTGTTTTCTGTTTTGAGGGGCATACCTGGCTATGCTTAGGGCTTACTCCTGGCTCTGAGTTCAGGGATCACCCATAGTGGTACTCAGTGGATCACATTAGGTGCTGGGATTGATCTGTGTCAGCCAAGTGCAAGGTAAACCTATGCACTGTATGATCTCACTGACCTATTTTCACTTTTTGAAGAGTTTTGTGTCTTGTGATTGTGGATAGTTTTACCAGTTAAAAACTAGTAACTAGGGGCTGGAGAGATAGCACAGTGAGTAGGACGTTTGCCTTGCATGCGGCTGACCCGGGTTCGATTCCCACCATCCCATATGGTTCCCTGAGCACCATCAGGAGTAACTCCTGAGTGCAGAGCCAGGAGTAACCCCTATGCATCGCCAGGTGTGACCCAAAAAGCAAAAAAATAAAAAATAAAAACAAAAACAAAACAAACTAGTAACTAATTATCTTTGCAAAGTTAGTTAACTTTCAAAAATATCTAATATTTCAAAATATATAAGGCAACATTCGTTGACTTATACAAATGTAACTTAAAGTCTCAAGTCATACTATATTTTCTGTAGCAGAGAATCTATTTTGATTTCAACAAAAAACATATATGCTACTTATATTTTGGATAGTGTCATAAATTGTTCATGTCTATTCACTAATTCTTGTTTTGCTATTTAATCTAAAGTATTATTTATTTATCGGTACAAAACACAATATTTAACATTGTCTCCTAAGATTTCTATGAATACCAATAGCTATGCAGCCATTAAAATTTTTTATTGAGAACCAAATTTGAGTGTTTTAAAAATAATAAACTGCACTTTAGTCAGTGACTTATCTTTAAACTCAAAAGTGAGTAATAAAACCATCTCAATGAATGGCAATAAAAAAAGGATCACACAACAAAACTTTGAGCTTAATTTGTTTCTATTGTCCCTATTTGTAAAAATTTATAAATTATATAAATTCAGAACTAGGATGGATACTTGGTCTTAGCTAAAAAGAAATCTTTAGCCAGTGCTTAAGTTAATAACAAATTTAGAGTGATTAAAAATATGTATAGATTAATGATAATGTATAAAAGAGCTGATTTACTAATTTTTATAAATCTCTAAAATAATTCTACATAGTTTTAAAGAACTTGTATTTATTTTTTTTTTAACTATTTAGTTTTGTTCTCGAGTCACACACAGCAACTCTCAAGGATTACTGCTGGCTCTATGTTCAGGAACCACCCCTGATGTTTCTCATATGGTTGCAGGGGAACTAATTCAGGTTGGCCCATGTGCAAGGCAGGCACCCTACCTGCTGTACTATTTCTACAACACCAAGAATTTATTATCATTTTTAAATAAAGATGTTTATTACAGATTTTGGCATAACTCAAACCACATAAACCAGTACACAAATGGAAATCAATCATATGCCAACCATCTTTAGGTAGCCATTTTTTCCCATTTATTTGCTTTCATTCATGTTTTAAGTTATTTTTACATCAATATGTGCATGATAAAAATTCAAGAGACTAAAAATCAAATCTATTTTTGTGGCAGGACGTATAATCCTCAGAACCATTTTACACATGAGAACAACTTCTCTGAAATATTTCTGCATATGAAATTATGTGTATGGAGCTTTTAAATAAATAAGAATACTGTGCCTTGTTTTCCCCTTCTTATATCATTTAATATGCTAAGGAGCATTTCATATCCGTCATCTGTCATCAATTTTACTCATTCTACCAGTTGAGTGTTCATGCTACATATTGCTCCTAATGTGTCTCCATAAGTAAATGTGAAAGTTTCCATAGAGTTATCAAAAATTACATATTCAATATTGTTATGCAGGTATCTTGCACACATACATGTGATTAGATATGCAATCAATTTCTAGAAGTAAAATGTTTCAGTGGAGCATCTCATTATTTTTTATTACTTTGAAATTCTCATTACATTGCCCACTTTATAATAAAGGGATACCTAACTTTATAATTTTTTTTTTATAGGAAGAGGGGTTTGGACCATATCCAGTAAGTGCTCAGAACTTAATGCTGACTCTATGCTCAGGGATTACTCCTGGGAATATTTTGGAGAAGCATATATTGTGTTGGGAATTGAATCTTATGCAAGGCAAGCGCCTCGCTACCCTGAATATATCTCTGAACCTACAATTTAGTTTATATTACTGTATGATGATATCAAAACATATATATTACCAAGCACTTTTTTAACAAAAATAGCACTGATTTAACACTTTTTCAATGCATTCATTTTAGCTTGAAGAACATAGTAACTGCTCAAATACTATTTATATTCAAATTCCCAAGAGAAAGTTATTTTATGTGTGGTTGCATCATTTATTAATGAGAACATTTCTTTTTTTTGGTTATATTTTATTAAGCACTTACAAGGTTTTAGCTAACAGAGAAAGCCATGAAATATCTAAGTGAACTTTCCTAAAAACTAAATGGGGTAAAAATAAGCATTCATATATACCAATATAAAAAACAGGTATAAAGAAAAGTCAACACTCTTTGGGCAATTTCTTATCAATAGCATCTAGTTAATCTGATGCATGCACACAGGGTCATCATCTTCCAAATCAATATTCTTATATATTATGATGTAAAAAAATATAGGAAATCATTAGAGCATTCTACAGTAAAAACTGTCCCCATTAGAGTACTATCTTTAAAGTCTGTGTATTCTGATCCACAAGATAGGAGAGTTTGCAATGAGATTCTAATACTGTAATTTTCCACTGTCATGTTTAAAATATTTCCTTGTTCTTGAGAGGACGCTGAAAAAAATATAAGACATATGATTTCATTTCTTCCATGTTGTCATTACGTTGGTTTTCTTTTGCAGTCAGAAAAGTTGGCAGCTATTATTTTCTAGTACATGGTTTCCCAAGATATACAGTTTTTAGTAATTACATGCATTTCAGCACTAAAATCTGAAATTGTTTGGAAAACAAGGGCAAAACTCTGCAATTTGTGTCTTTGTAAAACAGAAGCATAGCCTCTCTTATCAAATAATGGTACTTTCCCTCCTTGATACATGATCATTGATTATCATTCATTTGTTGTCTCAATTTAGATTAGGAATCTGACTATTAGTAATGACATACCCTTAAAGCCACAAACTTGAATATAAATCAAAACAATAATATGTATGGCTTACTTGATTTTTAAATTCCTATTTTATTTCTATTTTGTTGGGGTTTATTTATTTTGTATTTTTTGTGTCCCAGGAATCACTCCCTGTAACACTTGACCCAACAATACAGTAGAGAGGATGGATCATGGTAACGCTGAAAATTGAAGCTGTGTCTCCGCCACAATGTTGGGCCCTTCAGAAATGTTGGGGCCACGTAGTGCCTGATGTTGAACTCAGTCTTTTATATGTCAGGTATGCACTCTATTCCTTGGCACTACCTCACCAGATCTTAACTTTCACTTTAAATAAATAAATGGGCTGGAGCAATAGTACAGCAACTAGGGCACAGGTCTTTCGTTCAGCTAACCCTAATTCTGTCACCAAGTCCTGCCAGGAACAATTACTGAGTGCAGAGCCAGGAGTAGACCGTGAGCATCATGGGGGTGTGGCCCCCAAAACTAAAAATCAAACAAATGCAAATGTAGTAAAAATATTGTTATTTCAAGGCATAATATGTCTGAAAGTGCCTGTCATGCTTTATTAATGCATATATGCAATAATTTTACTTTCTCCAGGAAGTTCTTTTCAGGATTCCCTATATTTTAACATGTTTGAACACTAATGAAACCCTTGAAATATTTAAAATCCCTCTTAACATAACCCTATGTATTCCCTTCAATTTCAATATCCACAGAATTTGAATAAGTAGTATGAATCTACCAAGTAGTATCATTGGATCATTACCCTCCTTCCTTCAGTTTTATATCTAAATGGTACGAGATAAAAAGAATGAGATACATAATATCAAATATAAAGATATCAGACTTTATGTTCACCTGTACTAAAAATGTTTAAAATTTAATATTTCAGCATTGGGATGTTTGAGCTACATGATACAAAAAGCTAGCTATTTTAAATATATGGATAAGTGAATCATATGATTTCACTGCACTTCATCCAATCTTATTTAATATTCATGTATTATATTGTTTGATGTAATATGGTCGAGATTTTTAATGAAATACTACAAAAATGAGGGAATAACAAATGCTACTTTATTAAGACAAAGAGGTTGAAAAGTTGGAAATGAAATGCAGAATAATTGGAAATTATTTTAAATTAATACATTTTTTGCACAAATATTCAGAAAAGTTCATATAAATACTATTACTAAATGCTTGCCTCATCACTAGTATTGCTAAACTTAATTTAAAAATTAAATTAGAGGCACTGATTGAAAATAAAAATGCATCTTTGCTAGTTTATATAAATGTAGTATCATATACTCAGCTATAGAAAAATGTTTATAAATTATTATACACTTCTTGGATCATATGATATATAAATTAATGCACCACTAGTGCATTTATTGCTTAATGTAAATGTCACATTGTAAATGAGAACAACTAATCATCCCTTTCCTCTAATAGCAAGAGTTCAGCAGTTAAATAAAACATAAATCTTGGTGACCTAAAAATTTTATTACTGCATTTGTAATTTCCCATTAACAGCTCAAGAAAATAACTTTAAGTAATGCTGTATTTTAGTAAGATACAACCCAAGGTGAAAATTTTTTGGGGATTTGAGAGTGGATAGTATTTT